AGGCTCTTTTGGCTTTGTTTTCTCTGTCCTTGCTGTCACGACCACTGTGGTGGGCAGCTGCTGTGGTGCCCACCTCGTCCCTGAGCATCATGGAGAGAGGTCTGTGTGAGGCGACACAGGCAGGACGCAGGAACAACCACAAAACCACGGATGAAATGCAAAAAGTAAGTTTAATCTCGATACCTCGCGAACTGGGGGATGTCCGAAGCAGCCAGCGGGAATGCAGGCACTGTGGAGCTCAGTCCTTGCCAGGGAGAGACCTTGTTAGCCAGGGTCTCCCCCTCTGGAGCCATTCCAAACCCGCCTGGACGCCGTCCTGTGCCACTGCTGGAGGTGCCCCTGCTCTGGCAGGGGGTGGCCCTGGAGGCACTCCAGAGGGCCCTTCCAGCCCTCACCAGTCTGGGAGTCTGAGAGAGAGTGTCCAAACCTGCTGTTCTCGCTGGTACATCAGGGATCCAAAGCACACATAGTTTTCCACTGCGGTTTGATCTTCTCTGACAGCAGGGCAGGGACCTCAGGCGTAGTTCACTAAGGTGGCTCCGAGTCCACCACAGGCCTGTGTTATCAAAGCGCGGATGTTCTGCTTGTCGAGCACATAAGACTAAACAACGATTAGTGTGATATATGTGTTTTCCAGCACCCCAGGTGCAAGTCACTTGAGCGTCTTTGCAATCCTCCTTGCTGATCTTCCGTTACTTTCCCACGAGGACGAACCCCTCCAGCTCCGGGGCTGACAGGCCCAGGCTGGCAGCTCTGGAAAACGGACTTTTTAACTTCTCCAGGCCTTGTTGCTGAAGCAGAAGGGCAGCGCTTCATCCCCAGAGGGCTCCAGGAACCTGTCTTTATAAAGCCCCTGTTTCTGATCTAGTTCTGGGGCGGAGAGCTCCTGGCTGTTAATTCACTCACATCCTTGAGGGTCGATATGAAGAGATAAGACGACCTGTAGTCCTGATCTCCACTGCCTGCTTGGGCTGGGTGGTGTTACCTGCTGTCTGGAACTCGCTTCTTGGTTCAGCTCCGAGATAAGCCTCTGGAAATACCAGTGCCTGAAGTACATTGTGCAGGTGCCTCACAGAGGGCTGTGTCTGCTTCCAGAGCTGCTCTGCCTGGTCAGGGAGGACGTTCAAGGCATCGGGACCCCTAGGTCGTGACACAGAGCTTTACTGGCAGAAAATAATGTGGTTTATCCTGCGGCACTGGCCACCAGCGTGTCCTGGGGATCCTGGCTCTTTACCGGCACATGCAAGTGCCGCTGCTGATCCCCTGACACATCTGACCGCCCAGAGCGTGTTTCTAATCCCTTGTCCTGGCGGAGTGGGGCTCCTGGCCCATTCCTCGCACTGCAGCTTGCCTGGGCAGCCCTGTGTCCATGGGTGGGTTTCTCTGTCAGGGGCAGAGTGGCTGGTGTGCGATGCTGTGTCCTGGTCCCCAGTGGCTTGAATCTGAGCTGCAGCTCATCACCGCACATGTGCAATTAGAGCAATAAGCATTGTATCTTGGATCGTTCTGTTTGTTAGCATTTGTCATACACTACTTTTTGCTAATTACATTATCCTTATGGTAAGAGTTCACTCCACTGCTAATTGCTAGCAGCAAGACTTGTTTAACTAAACATGTTTTTTAAGGATACGTGGTTTGTATCCTTAAATGTTCTGTTTAGAGACTTGTTGGTCTTCTTGCTCTCCTCCATGCAGATCTTGGGCAGGTTCTTTTGGTTCTCTGGATGGCAGGGATTCAGCTGCTTTATCCAACACAGTTTTGAGTAACTTATTACCACGTTTGCACCAATGAAATAATTAGGGGTTGTAGTTTGGGGGCTCATAGCATGGCTTTACCCAAGGAAGATTGTCCCTATTTGTTCCAACACAGCCCTGTTGTTGTGCTTATTATTCTGCCAGTAGAAAAGTCTTTGTGGGATAAATACTGTTGTGTTGTGGAATTTGGTGTGAAGTCATGGGTACAGCTGGTGCTCGGGAGGTGGTGGAGGTCCCAGAAGTGTATTTTCACAGCCTTTCTCCGTGTAAGTGATCCTGTTTGAGCAGGGTCAGCCTGGTGAGGCAGGCTGGTGGGTGAAATGCACAGCCCACCAAGAGAAAATGCCGTGTGATTTTTTTCACTTTAAAAACTCCACTGCGGTGATTATATCAGCACCCACCGAGTCCGCAGAGTTTCTCTCTGTCCCTGGGTTTCACATTCCCCTCTGCCCTGGTGCTAAGCAGTTTAGTTCTTGCTCATCTTTTTCTTCTGCCCTTGTTCCTGCCGAGGTCTCAACCCTGCTCCTGCCTTCCCAACCCTCCTCTCCACCTCTCGCTTCACTGCACCAGCCAGAGGCTTTTCCCCTTCTCTTCCCGGGTGCCAGCAGAGGGAGCGCAGGCAGCGCTGCCTGCTCTATGCCTGCAGCACCCAGCCCTGCACCCTAAGGTTCCTCCTGCCCCGGGGAGCAGCTTGGGGCAGTCCCATTGGCAAAGCTCCCTCGTAAAACAAGGTGTTGATATTTTTAATGTGGACAAGCAGTGTGTTCTGAACCCTCCCCTTGCATTCTTAGAAATAGTTGTGCTATTTTGTTGAAACATCTCACATAAATTCAGTCTAGAGCAGGCATCTGTCAAAGAAAACGGTCCAAACGTGTGGTTTGAGGTTACAGACAGCTGTAAGGAAGGTGCCTGATGGATGGTGTCGACTCACGGTAGCTACAATTGACAGTGAGTGCGGAGCCACTGATAAAGAGCACATTCTCGGTGGGCTCCCTGGTGACATCCACGTGGGTGTCCCGCTCTGGCCGCTGGAGTAGCGGCGTGCACAGGAGTGATGGGAACAGGGCTGAAGTGAGCGTGGAAGGAGGTGTGTCAGGGCTGTGCACGGGTGCTGGAAGCCGGCTTCCTAGCGACTAATTGTTCAGCCTATTGGCTAATTTCAGTCTCCTTTCACAGAGACAGAGAGAGAGATTTCAAAAATAATTAAGTTTCTACGAATTTAATAAAATTAGATCTTGAGGGAACAGGAGAGCTGGCATTCAAAGTTTGCCTTTAATAACCTAGAATGTGTGAGCTGATTTTGAGAGTCACTGTGGCAAATTGCCTGTCACTGTCCAGGTACTTAGCTGGAGTGCAGATGAACAATTTTATAGGTGCCTGCAGAGATGAGCAACGATGAAGTTAATAACTCAGTTAACGATCCAGCCAGCAAGCGCATGGACTGTGGAAAGCCAGACTTCCCACACTTGCAGAATTCTCATTTTGCACTTGCATTTTTGTTGTTGTTTATTAATGCTGATGAAATACCTCTTTTTCTCACCTCAGGATTGTTCTGTCCTTCTCCACAGGTCTCCTCAAAGATCCTGTCTCAGACGCTTGGGTGAATGTTTTAGGTTCCTTGGACTGCAGATGTTATTTTGAGCCTCCGGCAATTCCCTGCAGCAAAACCTGGAGGAGCAACATGCCAAACGCTTCGTCCACTCCAGTGAGTCCTCCTCATCTTCTGTGTACATGTAAACCAGCATCTGATGTGCTATGGGGAGAAAGTTTTGACTTGCTAGGCTGGGCATTGGAGTCATCAGCCTCAGAAACGCTGATTACTGGTGTCCAGTTAGCTCAGGGAATGGAGCTGGGTCTGATTCTCAGGCAGATTATTCCAAAGCCAATCTCTTTTAAATATCTATGTCTCATTGTTTTAGGCAGGTGCACATCTAGGGTGAGTCCAGGAACCTGCAGTAAGCAAGAATGAGACCACTACGAGTCATTGATACAGAGGTTTCGCTTGGGTACTCAGCAGCGATTCCAGCCCAGATGCTGCGCATGGCACGCTGCTGCAGGCAACAGCTGCACATCTGGGAGAGGCCAGGCAAATTTGCTCGTTTGGAAAGCCCAGTGATTGCTTCTTGCAGCCCCTCACTGGGAACCTGAAAGGGCAGGCACCTTCTGGGACCAAACACACTTCCCTTTTCAGTTTGGTTTTGGAAGGTTCTGTGTAAAACGGTATCTGCGTGGCAGTGGAGGCTGAGGTAGGCTGTTCTCGTGCTCACCCCGTCTACAGGAATTTCAGGCAGGCAGAACTCTTATTTCTGCTGTTGCTGAATAAAACATTGCAGATACTGTGGTCGTATAACAGACTACACATAATGTAGGTGCAGATAACGTTGTCATCTAACAGTGTGCAGTGCAGACAAAGTTATTTTGTGTCTTAGTTAGCAACTTCCACAGTTGTCACTGCCTTCCTCACCAGGGTGTTTTTGCACCTTTGGCGATCTGCTCTTTTGGGGAGGAATTTTACCTTTCAGTTCAGCCGTGGTGGTTCACCAGTGTGGTATTGATGTAGCTTTGTGAGTGTTAGAGCCAGAAGAAGCAGTGGGACACTGGCAGGTGTGGCATGTGGTGTGTGCCCAAAGGCAATGCTCTCAGCTGCAGCCTGAGGCTGGCCCCTGCCCATTCCCACTGATGAGGTGCACCTTGGAAGGCCCCACTGTCCTGCCAGAGATGGGGAGGGGTGTTTCGGAGAGGAGGGCTGCTACAGGCTTGGGTGTGATTTGTATTCCTTCAGAGTTTTGTCAATTCCCCATCAGCTTGACCTGAACCAAGTGTTGCCTTTGACTGGTCTGGAGGGCTCCTCCACCAAAACCTACATCCTGGCCGTCCTTGGGCTGGATGCCTGCGGGTGGTATGTGCCGGGTGAGTGGTGGTGCTGGGGAAGCTCATGGCGGGTGGAGATCAGCGTGTCTGCAGGGGGGACACATTCGGGGCTGAGTTGCTGACACTTGGTGCCAGCATGGTGGCTGTGAATCACAAAGTCCATGTTTGTGGGGGCCAGGACTTGGGTTTGGCGGTCTTGAGGGTGTACTTGGTGCATGCGTTTACAGCAGCCTCTGAGGATCTTGTAGGCAGAAGGGGTTCACGGGTAAGGCCACCCCAGGCAGAGGGCTGCCATGATATGCAGGAGCTGAGGGAATTGCTCTCACTGACTTGCTCTGCTCTTCAACACCCTGAGAGATGTTCAATGCCTGGAGCCCTTTTCTTGTCTCTTGAATGTCCCATTCGTCTGCTGCTCTCAGTGCCTGGGTCCTTCCTGTCCGTGTACACGCACAGCAGAGGAACCTCCTCCGTGGTGATGGTGTGCTCACTTCCAGAGTTCCCCATATAGACGCAGCTACAGTAGCTCTGTCTGTCCTGTCCTGTCTGGAGTATTTCCCAGGGAGAGCTCTTGTCTCACCACCTCCTGGGCTCTTTCTCACTTAAGCCTGTGAGGACAAACTTTACCGAGAATGTTATGTATAAAGAAATCGGCTGTGGCCTGTTGAGTTCTGCCACCAGAGGAACCGAGTGGCTCTCCCCCTGGTTTCAGGTCTCCTCTCCCTCGCAGGGGAGCTGCTGCAAGCTGGGGGGCAGGTGGCCTGGAGCAAACTCGACACCTTTGTCTCCAGCTTCAGGTGAGATTTGGAGGTAGCAGATGCGGGTGGGTTAAGTCTGGCCTTTACCTCTTGATCAGAGAGCAGCCCTGAGGTAGGAGTATGTAGAGTTTGTGTGTGAGCCGTGTGTCTTGCTTGTAGGTGTAACCAGGAGCGGGGTGGGCGGCTGGCACTGAGCCCTGGAAAGCAGAGTCCCAGCTCCAGGCCTGGCCCAGAGCTGGTTCTGACTCAGGAGGAGATACTGGAGGTAAAACTTCTTATGGTCCTTGCAGTTTTATGTTACTTGGGGTTGAGCTGTGCGGAAAAGGCTCTCACTGGTAAGCTCTTGTGTGCAAGGAATGCTTTGCCAGGGGAAGTGGTGGCTGGCTTGGATCGGGTTGCATCCACGTGCATCTTCCTTTGCCGTGTCTGGCAATGGGATTGAAGAGGGACTGCCGACTTTGAGGCACAGTTTGGAGCCTCTTGTTATTAAGACCTTTGGATGTGATCCAGGCTCCCCTCCCCAACCCCACCAAGAACTGCCTGCTTGGCTGTGAAAGGAGAGTTTGGTTGTCACTCGTCTCTCTGCCTTGCAGAACCTGTGTTCCACAGCAGAGCAGCAACGCTCCTTGTGATGCCACAGCAATCACAAACTAGGTCAAATACCATCTAAACCCTTGCTTGATATCCCTTGAACTAAATTCCTGTCCTGCCTGAGTATGCCCCAAAGGGGGTTATGACTCGCTGGCTTACTGGGAGCTAAGAAGGATGAGCAGGCTTTACTGCGGCGCTGTGTAAACAGAGCTAATGCAGGCAGCCCAGCCTCCCTCCCCTCCCCTTCCAGCCCCAGCCCAGCTTCACCCTGCTGAGGGACGTGTCCTACTGTTGTGTTCTCCTTGCTGCTTTTGCTGGGTGCCTTTGGTGGCCGGCGCTGACACCAGCGCTACTGGCTGAGGATTGAGGAGGGTGATGGCCTCGGGCTCACAGCTGGCCCACTGAGCCTGTCTTCGTCCCGTCGGTTGGTGTGTTACATGTTTCACCTCCGTCTCTTCTCCTCCAGGCGCTGGTGGTGCTGCAGCTGTGGGATAACGTGGAAGTGCTGTTCCTAGACACATGGCAGGAATTCGGCCAGCTTGTCTCTGCGCTGACAAAGGCCATAGCAAAACACCCATACAAGTGAGTCGTGTCACTGGACTTGGTCACATCCCAAGCCCAGAGCTTTGGGAAACCTCAGTGGAAGTTACAGGAGCATCCTGGGAGCAGGATCCTGGGCTGCAGCCCCAGCAGCACGGCCAGCAGGGCGAGGGAGGGGATTCTGCCCCTCTGTTCCACTCTGGGGAGACCCCGTGGAGCACTGCATCCAGCTCTGGAGTCCTCAGCACAAGAAGGACATGGACCTATTGGAGTGGGGCCAGAGGAGGCCCTGGAGATGCTGGGAGGGCTGGAGCCCCTCTGCTGGGAGGACAGGCTGGGAGAGTTGGGGGGGTTCAGCCTGGAGAAGAGAAGACTCTGGGGAGACCTTAGATCCCCTTTCAATGCCTAAAGGGGCTCCAGGAGAGCTGGGGAGGAACTTTTTGCAAGGGCATGGGGTGATAGGATGAGGGGAAATGGCTTCAAACTGGAAGAGCG